TAGTAAGACTAATCTTTAACGTAAATTTCAGCTTAAAATATTTGTTAGTTTACGAGATTTGCAATAATAACAAAAAATTTTAAACTGCTATATCTTCCGTTCTAATAATCGCATTGAGGTCTACGCAATGTCGTCTGCACGTCAACTAGCAGAAATTGCAATTGTTTATACTCGTAAATTATTAAAATTAAATAAGTTAAACTTGCATTTACAATTGGATTCCTTTGGAACATTAAAGAAAACACTGGTAAGATCATTTTAGCGTTTAAGTGATTGAATTTTAGATTGTCGCGTGAAATTTATTCAATTATTATTTAATAATTTTTTTAGTTGTAAAATTATAAAAAATTGTTCTGAAAGAGATTTATTCCTCTCATTTTCCTTGACATTTTAAAAAAAAGAAGACCTCAATCCGATTATTAGAACGGAAGATATAACAGTTTAAAATTTTTTGTTATTATTGTAAATCTCGTAAACTAACAAATATTTTAAGCTGAAATTTACGTTAAAGATTAGTCTTACTATATATAACAAAATTCCAAAGTTTCATTGCAATCGATTAACCTACTCCGAAAAAGTCAAAATCTCACCTGGAATCGCACTTATATTTTACAGAAAAGAATTTGTTTATTACAATAACCTGCAAGAAGGAAGTTCATCTTCAAGTACTTCTTCACAGATACCGCCATGCTCTGTACTTGTACTTTTATCACTGGAAGTAGAATCTGAAGTACAATCTTCAATATCCATTGCCATATACTGTGTATCAACAGCAGACGATCGTTTTTCTTGAGAACTGAAAGCATTAAAATATGTAAAATACAAAGTTTTCCAAATAATATTCATTTCAGTTATATTAATATTTTCGAAAATATAACACTGTGCGTACGTTTATGTTATTTATAATGACACAAGTAAACATTTGAGCCGCCGGAAAGTAAAAGGGCGCATAAAATTTGTACGGCCGTTCGAGTTGGCCCCTGACGCTTGAAAAATCGATTTAAAAAAAAATTTTTTTTATTACTACATTACTGGAAATTTTATTCTGCATCTTTTTTCTTCTATGAAAAAAATCTCTATCTTTTTCGGTTTTCGAGTTAATCGAAAAAAACTGGATTTTTAGAAAACACAAGTTTAATTAAATTTTTCTCTTCATCTCGCTCTAAAAAACAAAGTTATAAATATTTTTTGACAAAATTTACAGGAATTATAGTTTAAACTATTCTTAAGACGACAAACTTTTGTAAGAATGTGATTTTTTTATTTCGAAAAAAGTTATGAATTTTTTTGTTTCACAGTGACAAATTTACGTTTCCAAATTTTCAAGGGCTTCGTTTATCTGAAAAATTTTCAGTCAGTGAAAACTTATCCCGAAAAAAATGTTCACTAGGGTCTTATAAACATTTTTGTAAAATATTTTTGCAATTGGAATAGCCGTTTACGAAATATTATTGAAAAACTATTTTCCGTCAAACGCGCACGAGTCAAAAACTTTCCGTTTGTGTATAGCCGACTAGTACTCAGCGATGGCTGCCAAGGTCGTTTATGTTTACTCGCGCGCGTTTGACGAAAAATAGTTTTTCAATAATATTTCGTAAACGGCTATTCCAATTGCAAAAATATTTTACAAAAATGTTTATAAGACCCTAGTGAACATTTTTTTCGGGATAAGTTTTCACTGACTGAAAATTTTTCAGATAAACGAAGCCCTTGAAAATTTGGAAACGTAAATTTGTCACTGTGAAACAAAAAAATTCATAACTTTTTTCGAAATAAAAAAATCACATTCTTACAAAAGTTTGTCGTCTTAAGAATAGTTTAAACTATAATTCCTGTAAATTTTGTCAAAAAATATTTATAACTTTGTTTTTTAGAGCGAGTTAAAGTGAAAAATTTAATTAAATTTGTGTTTTTTAAAAATCCAGTTTTTTTCGAATTACTCGAAAACCGAAAAAGATAGAGATTTTTTTCATAGAAGAAAAAAGATGCGGAATAAAATTTCCAGTAATGTAGTAATAAAAAAAAAAATTTTTTTTAAATCGATTTTTCAAGCGTCAGGGGCCAACTCGAAAGGCCGTACAAATTTTATGCGCCCTTTTACTTTCCGGCGGCTCATTTATGTATTTCAATTTTATAAAATGTTATTTTAACATGTAAATAAAAATGTATGTATGTATGTACAATCATCAAAAAGAACGTAACGCAACATAACCTATGAAATGAAAAACCAATGAAGTAAATAAACATTTAAGAAATGTTAATGTCATTATAATAGCATAATATAAACATTTGAGATAAAAAAATGAATTACTTACCTATCAAGGGTTTCATTGTGAGTTTCGGATACAGATTCATCGTTATCAATTTTTTCCAGCAAATTGCGACATTCTTCTTCTGTTAATTTTTTGACAATACGTCTTAAGTGACGCTTGGAGTAATTACAGTGGCGTTCTGTTTTGTATTGTCTAGAATTATCCATGATTTATTTAAAGCACAACAAAAGAAACTTGTTCATTTTTTACTTTAACCATCAATTATAGAAAACACCTACGATAACCAAACCTGAGTAGACTATAGCTAAAACCACGCGGCTGCGGTATGCGCAGGCTTCAAAAACCCCTCTTGAACGGGCCTTTTTTGTTAGATATTGGTTAGATAAACGTTGGTCCGTTATTCCGCGAATTCCCTCACAACAAAAGGATATTCAGGATATCCTTGGGACGTCCTGGGGATATCGATTTGTTTTCGGCGGTTTGGATATCCCTGGGATATCTTAGAGATGTCCATGGATATCCAGAGGATATCTTAGGGATATCCGAATCGCCAAAAGCAAATGGATATCCCCAGGACGTCCCAGGGATATCCTGAATATCCTTGTGTTGTGAGGGTTTAGAAATGTTGTACACTTTACAAGTATAAATTAATTGGATTTTTAAAAATAATTAAAATTTTTATTTATTTATTCGTATAATTTGTCAAAAATTCAAGTAAAAAAATTATTAAAATTTGTTGTGACAGAATTCTGCACTGCCGTATATACGCGCGATAAGAAAGAAGTCATCAACAGCATATAGTTTAAATACAGATGATTTTTATAAAAAATGTTTTTAAAAAAATTGCTTTTATTTACATAAAATATAGTGTAGGGATAAAATATCTTTGTATATATCTTATAAACTAAGTTTTTATAAATAAGGTTAATTTTTAATGTTAGTTATCAATAATTATCTATATATAAGGGCCTTTTTTTCTTAACACGGCAATGTCTGTGGCGTATCACTTCCCCTACACACATGAACCACTGACTTTTCTGCTAGTCGCGTTGCCTTCCTCTTTCTTTTTCATTTCGCGCTTGCGAGAAATTGCGGCCGCCATATTTCATCAAAAAAAGGGACTATTCAGTGAACATTAACAGTGAGGTAAGTCAGATTTTTTGTTAATTTTTCTATAAATACTATTTTTCGGAATTTGTCATATGTGTTTAACTTTTAAATTTTTGATATGTCTGTAATATATATAATGAACATCAAATCAAGATTTTCTTTTGATTCGGACACGTGGTTTAATAATTTAATAAGTATCAACTTTCTTTGTTTGTGCCATAAAGTAATTATATTCTCTTCTCATTATTTTGATATTTCTGTGTCGAATCGTTGGGGGGTTATTTAGTATGGTTAGTAAACTTTCAATTTATTTTTTTCCTGCGCATAAGCGACTAATCTTTCTAGAGTTTTTTTTAAATTAAAAAGTATGACTTATTGTAATTATTCTATTAAAATGTGGCTTTTGTTATACAATGCTGAACGAATATTGGTTTTTATTACTGCAAAATTTGAGTGATCGATTTTTAGATTTGTGTATTAGTGTAGTATACTATTTTATAAATCAAAAAGATTAAATTTTTTATTTAAACTTATTTTTAAATTTGCAATTGTTATTGGCTGAAATTTTTGTCACATAATAATTTTATTATGATTTTCATCATTGCATATGACGTAGTATTTTCTTTAATGGATTGAACTTTTATGCATAAAAAGTACAAAATTTCTTAAAAAAAGAAACTTATGATTGAATAACTTATAAACAATTAATAATAATTAATAATAATAGATTTTAATATTTAAAAAAATATATTTTTACAGAACTATTTAATTGACTATTTAATTTAATTTTCGAATTGCTATTCAACCAATTTATTGATAAGTAGAGTTTTGTTTGCGATCCAATCAGTTTTTATCATATCCAAATTATAATAAATAAAATATTACTTTCTAATCAATCTCTTTCATTTTGAAACTGCAATTTTAATCATGTTATTTTATATACCGAACCAATCCGTTTTTATTAAAAGCGGATTAATTCGAAATTAAGTAACACACGAATAAAATTTATAATTTTAATATGAAACCCGGTTTGCGAATTGGCCTGAAAACCGGAAAGTGACCAAAATTTTAACATTGACTGTAAAAACCGAAAATTAAAATGAGAATATGTAAACCGGACCTTTTTTTAACAATTTGATAAAGATGAAATACTCATGACTGTCATTTAATTAAGAAATTAACAATTCAAATATTTGTTGATCACAATTATTTTAAATAATTTAAATTAAATGATAATTAAGTTAACACCCAGTTATTTTTATTTAAATGAACTATTTCAACTTTATTTATCATTTTATTAACATAATTTTTTTGCAAATTAAATAATCTGATTAATATTTACTGTATTATGTTAGCATAAACACGTAAATAAAATTAAAATTGTTCATTTAAATTTAATAAAAATAATTGGATACTGATAACTCGGTGCCAGTTGCAGTATGATATAATTTAGATAAAGAAAAATTATTAATTAAAAGATTAAAATTTCACCAAAGAATTTCTAATCACTAAGAAATTGGCAATTATATTTACCTTTTCTTTATATTTACCATTTTAAAGAATAAAATTTATTCTTTCAAATACATGTTTTAATAGTAATGCAATATTTTTTTGTAGAAAATATTTCATTATGGAAGACGAACTGTATGTGATCGTTTTATTTGAGGATGGAATGCAGGTTACACTAAAAGATTGGACAGTCAGTGAAAATGGCAATATAACTGCCTCTTACTATCCGATAAACGTGACGTCACTTGAGCTTCATAAATTGTTACTTTCAAAAACTCCAAAAAAAGATGAATGGTGTAAAACCGATGGACAACCGTACCCGATTATCAAAGTATTTGATACAGCAAGTGAGTACCGTTTCACTATACGTTTATGTTTCAGGGAGTAAAGGAGTTTCCGAATTTAGTTATTAGTATAATAATCATTTTTTATTTTTTGAATGCTTCTGGAGACAAAGCAAGTAGTCCAATTGAAAAATATTTTTTATTATATTTTACAATAAATTTATGAAAAATTGTTTTTTTGGCTAGTATGTAGAATGAATGAGATATTGAAAGGCTTTGGAAGCATGGTAAGTCAAAAATATGGATTTTTCGTTTTTTATTATCTTTTTATTATCATACGCTCCTGGCGTCGAGATACTTATACTCGAACTTTTTTCGCTCGTCTGTTGTTGCATTATTTTGCCTTTTATGGTTGTTTGTTTTCGGTAAAAAAGTGAACAGAATTTTTTATGTGATGTGCCGTTTCTTATGTGATAAATATTATTAATACTTTCTGTCAGTGATATGAGTTTTTTATTATAATTTGTCTCTCCACGTGCTAATCTAGTACTCTATCCACAAACATTGACTCGTTACATAGACTACCTGTATAGTGATCACAATGCTAAACTCTTTAGAAACAAACGATCCCCAGTATTGCAGATGGTGTAAAAAGAAGGTCGTGAACCCTGTGTCTTGCCCTGTATGCTCCGCTAATTACCACCCTTGTTGTGCTGAAAAAACAAAAAAACTTTCAAGCGGCGGTTTCTCAAAATGTTGCGGCCCTGTTTCATCGCCGGCTGTCTCTCCTTTACCTACACCAGAAGCCTCAGGGACGCAGACTAGTGTTTTCTGTTTTCCTGCAGATACGAGTAACCCTTTCCAAATAATATCTCAACAAATATCAACTCTCTCGACTGACACGAAGAATGGTATGCATCGACTTGAGACTTCACTATCCGAACTTAAGGTGGGATTCGATGAGTTTAAAACGCGTTTGGATAATGTTGAAGGTAAAGTTGACACTGTCCAAAATGAAATGATTTTAGTTCAGGGCCGTGTTGAGACTTTAGAATCATTAATAAATACAAATGTTGATTCTACAGATTCTATATTAAAAGAATTTGAAGATATGCAAAGACGCAAGTCTAATTTATTAATTTTTGGTCAACCTGAAGTTCTCAACGATGGCGGCAATTATAATTCTGATCTTGATAAGGCTGGTGTACAAGATCTTATCAACTCTATCTTTACTACACCAATTACCTTCGTTGATTCCCTTAAAATCTCAAGAATTGGTAAATTTTCTCAGGCCCGCCCCGATCCGAGGCCAGTCAAGATTACATGCGAGACCCAAGTCCAGGCATCGTTGATTCTATCTGCGGCAAGGTCACTCCGGCTGACGAATTCACCGATTCTGCAAAGACTCTCGTTTGTTCCAGACAGAACCATGCGCCAGCAACAAGCATTCAAGGACCAGAAATTGATAATGGACGAACGAATCAAGAACGGAGAAACAGATCTAGTCATCCGCTATATCAAAGGAATCCCCACTATCACCAAGAAGCGGCCCCCAACATAACAACTCGGTCTACAAATTTCGTTTTGAATTTTTACTATCAGAATGTTCGCGGCCTTAATACAAAAATATCTCAATTTGAGACTTTCCCAGATTTTGACTTATATGATATCTTTATCCTTACTGAAACATGGCTCTCTCCTTCAGTGAATTCCAACGAGCTCTTTCCAGCAGCTTCATTTAACGTGTACAGGGATGATAGAGAATACCGAAGAGGTGGAGTTGTATTGGTAGCAGTGAAGTTCGATTATAATGTATGCGTCATACCTATTACTTTCCCAGATGTCTTAATTAACCATTTTAATTTTTTGGCTCTTAGAATAATCAAAAAGAATATTACTATTGATATTATTTCGCTATATTTACCTCCTAATTTATCTTTTAAATACTTTACTGATATCTTCGATTGTATAAAATCACAGTTGCAAATTTTTTCTAAACAAATTATAATTATTGGAGATTTTAATGTTCCCAGTTTTGTAAATTATGACCATAACGATATTTCAGATTTACTTGTGACTGATCAGAAACTCAAAGCACTAGTATCTCTTGCTGCCACATTTGATATCACACAAATAAATAAGATCCGCAATTATCGTGGAATTTGCCTAGACTTAATTTTTACATGTGCTCCCGGGAACGTTTTCCATCCCTCTTTTTCTATTGTTCGGGAAGATATGCACCATCCTTCACTTAGTGCCCATCTATCATTTCCTAACTCCTTCCCTATGCAATCAGATCACATCATAACTGGTGGAGAACCGAGATTTAATTTTAAGTCTGGAAATTTTCCAACGATTTACTCAAACCTCGCTTCTTGGGATTGGTCTCCTATTAAGGAATTTGATGACATAAATGAGGCGTCTAATTATTTGGAATCTAAAATCTTGGAGTTATTTAATGAGCATATTCCCACTTTTTCTAATAACAAACCTAAAAATACCAAATTTCCTTCTTTTTTTACATGTGATATTATAAATGATATAAAGTTAAAAAATACTATTTACAGCAGATATCGTCGCAGCGGTTCACCTCGACTCAAGGAACAGCTTCAACACCTTACCCGTAGTTTAAAAAAACGTATCTCTCAAAAACAGAAGCTGTTTTTTGACGAAATCGAGTTGGACTGCTCAGCTAACCCAGAAAGCTTTTGGAAATTTGTAAATCGGGCAAAATCACAATCGCGCATTCCTTCGGTCATGAAATTAAATGATAAAATATTTGATACCCCTCAGAGTATTGTTGATGCCTTTGCCGAATATTTTTCAAGTGTTTATCAACCTGGTGATGCGCCTGATGATGAGAACAATTTTTCTAAAAACTTTCAATTTTCAAATGACTTTCAATTATCATCATCAGACGTATCACTTGCAATGAAATCACTAAGTACAAAGAGCACAGCAGGAATTGATAAAATACCTAGTTTCTTTTTAAAATCCTGTTACGCTATACTTTCTTCACCTTTATGCTATTTATTTAACTCCATGTTATCAAGTGGTACATTTCCTCGTTCATGGAAAGTTACAAAAATTGTGCCCGTCTTCAAAGCGGGTGCTAAGGATGATGTAAGGAACTATAGACCGATATCCATTATTTCTAATTTTGCTAAAATTTTCGAGAAGTCTATAGTGAGTTATATCACCTATAGTTTGGCACCCGTCATTGTTGATGAGCAACATGGCTGTATAAATAATAGATCAACTACTACTAACTTAGTAAGCATTACTCAGTATATTAATCAAACTATATCGGAAGGAAACCAGCTTGATGTGGTATATACTGATTTTTCCAAAGCCTTTGATAGTGTAGATCATGAGCTCCTCTTCTCTAAACTTTCTGACTTAAATCTCCCTGCTAGCCTTTTTTCACTTCTACAGTCCTACCTTGTCAATCGCCCCAACATGGTTCAATATAATGGATTCTCTTCACAGTCATTTATCCCTTCATCTGGTGTTCCTCAAGGATCAGTTTTGGGGTCATCCCTTTTTAATATATTTATAAATAACGTTTCTAATTGTTTAACTGTTGGTAAACTATTGTATGTAGATGACCTCAAAATATTTCATCCGATTAAATCATTAGAAGATGCTGAATTCCTTCAATCCAACCTTAACGATTTTGTTCGGTGGTGCCTAAATAACAAGCTCAAATTAAACTTAGATAAATGCTATATTGTTAGCTATACGCGGCGTGAGACTCTGATAAGCCACAAGTACTTTATAGATAACATTGAATTAACTAGAAAAGATTCGATCCGCGATTTAGGCGTTTTGTTTGATTCGAAATTAACTTTTATACCTCATGTGGAAGCTGTTGAATTAACTGCCACTAGGTCTCTGGGAAGCTTAATTAGGAATGCTCGAAACTTTAAAAATATAGATACTTTTATTTTATTATTTAATGCCCTTGTTCTTTCCAAATTTAACTATGCAACGATACCATGGAATCCTGTCTTTGACAAATATATTCAAAACCTTGAAAAAATTCAAAAGAGATTTTTAAAGTTTCTATCTTTCCGAAAGAATCATGTTTACCCCCCACGAGGATCTGATTACTATGAATTATGCAAAAACTTTAATTTTTTAACCTTAGCGGAACGTCGATTTATAAATCAATCTATTTTTCTATTTAAACTGCTTAATTATACAATTAATTGTCCAAACCTTCTTGAAATGATAAGACTAAAAATACCGAGACAACAATCACGTTATTATCAGCCATTTTCACTGCCTATGCCTCACTCTGCAATAGGTTTTGCTGCACCCATATATAATATGTGCAATGGCATAAATGTAATATGTTTACACCATGATGTAAATATAGACTTTTTTGGAATGTCCTTAAATTCCTTTAAAAGCGTTATATATGATTATATTATTGCTCGGCGTTAGATTATAGTTTACCTAACAATATATTTTTCTTTTTATAATATATATTAGTATAATGCTGTTATTAAGATCTAATACTTTACAATGTTTTCTTTTTGTTTTTATGATTAATGCAATTTTTATTTTTGTTATTATATAGATCTTATATTCTTCAATTATTTTTGTTATTTTCGTTTGACACAAATGTATTGCCCTTCAATGGTCTTTTGACTGTGGGCTCGATATTTTGATTCAAATAAAAAAAAAAAAAATCCGAAAGGTGACAGGATAAAAATTTTGAATTTATTTATCACCCTCATATCCAAGAAGGCTTCCGGAGCAATTTTTTTCCGATTTCAATATGAAAAATAAAGGAACACATATTTTTCTATACGATGTCTGGAGAACAAAATAAAGAGAATTAATTAAAAATTTTTATTACTTTTTGTAAATATGATTTTAAAGTGTACAAAAAACTATCACTTATTTTGCAATTAGAAAAAGAAAATTAAAAACATAGGAAAATTATTAAAACTAAAAAGAAAAATTACCGACTGTTCATAAGAAGTAAATTATTTTTTTCGAACCTGACTAAGAGTAATAACGTATCAAAATACGTTATTACTCTTAGTCAGGTTCGAAAAAAAGAAGGAATATTGTACAACGTAATATATAATAGAAACGTAAAGAAAAGGGCTTTTTTTTATTGAACCTGACTTCAAGAGTTGTTAGTCCTAGTTGGTTATAAAGATATTAAATTTGAAATCATTAATTTTTGTTAAATAAAATAAAAATTTAACATAGAATGTCTCATGTGTTACTTTTAAAAAAGTATTATTTCACGAAATATAATTTAATAATATGTTATTATATTATTTTTTAAAGAAACTCTCGAAGCAGCGAGAAAAAAAGAAGCTCTGCATCTACAGTTGTCTGAAGTCGAAAGTGATGAAGGGAAAATTAATGACAAATTAAAGCAAAGCAGACACTCCAGGTGTGTAAAACAAATGGTTGATGAAGAAACTCCTAATTCAAATGCCAGTAAGAAAGTACAAAAGCGAAAAATTTTCTGTAAGTATTATTACTATTTTTAATTTTTAATATTTGGATAAAAAATCTATATTCCTAAAAGCAATTCTAATTTCATAGCCAAAAGATAATAAAATTAGAAATTTTAAATTTAAAAACATGAAATTAAAAAATTTTGAAAAAAACCAAAATTTAGTAAGTTAAAACTGATTTCTTTTGAACTTGCTGTATTCAAGTTTTCCTGATTTCTGATTAATATTTTATCACACTCCATTTAAAAAGTGGACGTCTTTAAAAGTACTAAAAACGTCTTGTTTTAAGAAATTTTTTGCGTCTATGACATCAAATACGTCTTAAATTAAGAATTTTTTTCACTTTTAAGACGGACAGTTTTTACAGTGAAAATAGTAAAATTAGGAATTTCAAGTTTTGAAATGTCAAATTAGAAAACTTTAGGGCTAGAAAATTTAAGACACATTTATTATAATTGCGATTGCACTGTATAACTTGGTATGAAGGTAATTGTTGTATTTCAGTATTTTTAATTGAAATTTTCAAAATTCATTATCAGGAAATATTTTATTTGTTCATTTAACTGACCACGGCGGTTCCTTCATGGTCAGGTTTTAAGTGCAATTAAATATTTACTTATATTGTTAATTTCTATTCTATTAAACATTGGAGATTTAATTTGTTTCTCGAGTATTTATAAAAGTTTTTTAAAAACTTATTTTTAAATTAATAAAGTTTTTTAACAAGCTTAAAAAGTTGTTAATCAAATTGTGACCAGGAAATACAAAATAAATGACACAGAAAAACTATGAAATTACCTGAAATTTTAATTCATAAAAAATATCCACTCTGCTGTCAGGTGTTAAAAATTCAAAGTATTGTGGGTATAATGTTTTAACGAAAATTTCGGATTTTTAAGGAAATATAGAAAGTTTTGTATATAAACTTCATTGGCTTTTTAAAAATTTGTTATTTATTTACTTAGCGAACATTACCAATTCTCTGTGGCGGCCATCAGGAATTGAGAAAAAGAAGAAATATAATGCTGGTATTAATAAGGGCAATCTTCATGATGACAGTGGTGGTAGTGCTACCAATAATAATGATGCCCCTCATCAAGATGACACCAATTTTAATGATCATGGAATTTTTGATGACAACCTTTATGATGCCGATGGTAATTTCATAATTGATAATCTTCATGACGGTAGTACACCAGAAGATTTAAATGCATTGAGTAAGTTTTAATTTTTTAATATAAGGGTGATTCTCTCAAAATGAACAAATCACGTTTTCACGGATTTTTGTTAAAAATTATAAAAATAATAAAATTTTTTAAAAATTCTGCCAGCCATGCGATAAGATAATTTACAATTGAATAATTATAATTTTACAATTGTCATTCAAATCACTAACGAAAAATTCAAAAAAAGGTCAAATGACTAAAATATTGAATAAAATCTAGTGTTACGGAGTGGAGTTACAGAGTGGAGTTTTAACGCTAGAATTCATCCAATATTTCAGTTATTTAATCTTTTTTTTTATTTTTCTTTAGTGATCTAATTAAAAATTGTTAAACTCTATCGTATGGCTGGCAAAATATTTTATAATTTAAATTATTTTATTATTATTGAACAAAAACACTGCCTGAAATCGTGCACAAATTATTTGTTCTTTTTGAGAGAATCACCCATAAAGCATTTTGATTTAAAAAAATCTATAAAATAAAATATTCTTAAAATAAATATTTTATAAACTATTGATATTTTCATTATTATAAACATTTTCAAATATTTTTATCAAAAATAAATATAGATATATTTCAAAAAATAATTTTTAAGATTCAAATTAATACATTTAAAAACAACTTTTTAGTATTACTTATTTTGTGTTATATAAAATATTTAAATAAATTTATTTTTAAAAAATTAATTTTTTTTTAATTTGGTCATTTTTAAAAAATTTTTACGTTTAATTTCTTGACTTGTAATCATAAGAAAATTTTGCATATACACGGATTTCGAAAGGATATCAAAAACTTATTAATAAAATCTCTCAAATTTCTAAATTTAACCTAATTATTGTCATTGAAAATTCGTCTAAAATAAGTCGACAAAAATATCCGTCTCTTTATTAAAAAAAAATTTTTTGCCTGTACACACTACTACATTTTCAGGAATGTCAGAATTGTTCGATTGGCTCTTACTTTTGAGGTACACTAAAAAAGCAGCTCAAAAACAGAAATAAAATTAAAATTTTATTTCACTGCGCAATAGTTTATTTTTTCCCTCAGAATTCGAATCCAAAATCAGAATTCTCAGATCGGCTTAAAATTTTAAAATGAACTTAAAAAAGTTAACAAAAACACAGAACAATAAAAAAATAACTATTTTTTGTAACGACAATAGAATATAGTGTGGTCCCTTGTATTTTTTCCTTACGAATCTAAATCCAAAGTCAGAATTGCTATATTAACTAAAACTTTTAAAATAAACTTAAAAAACATCAAAAAGTATATTTTTGAGTTCATTTTTAAAGCTTAAGCCAATCTGGCAATTTTGACTTTGTATTAAGATTCAGCATGAAAAAATACATCGGAATATACTAGTATATTGTCTCGGACAAATAAATCCTTCTTTTGAATTTAATTCGTGTTTTTTTGATAGCAGTGTTTTGAATTTTTTTTTAAATTTACTTTAAATTTTGGAGCTAACTTGACAATTTTGACGTCGCAAATTATGATTTAGTGGGGAGAAAAAAAGGAAATACACTATGTGTAATGTCAGAAAAAAAATTATTCTTTTTGGTCAAAAAGTTTCTTTGTATCGCAACAGAACCCTGAATTTCGTTTATAATAACGCGAAATAGAATGCAAAGAAATGTCTTTTTATAAACAAATTATTTAAACAAGAAGTATCAGGCCAACTCTAAAAATTTATGCAAACTTTTCTTATCATTCGAAGTTAAGAAATGAAATAAATAAATTTTTAAAAAATGTCCAAATTGATAAAAATGAATTTGTTCATAAAAAATTATGATTTTTTAAATAAAAATTTTAATAAATTTTGTTTTCGTTAACTTTTTTTGAAAGTCGAAGAAAAACCAAACTTTTTTTCTCTTGGAGAAATTTTTCTAAAATCAATTATATTCAAGTGGCTATTGAAAATAGGTCTGTTTTCAAAAAATCAAAATATTCGAAATTCATAACTCGAAAATTTATCTACAGGAATTTATAATTAATATAATTTATATAATTTTAGATAAATTTAAAAATTTATCTAAAGAACGAAAAAAAAGTGTTTGCTCGAGTTTAAAATGTAAACTGAAATCTGACGTAGAATCACCCATAGGTACAATGTAGAATACAATATTAGGGTTTTAAATATTATTTTATAGTATTAATGTATTATAAAAACTTTTTACAGAGCCAAATGCTGATGAAGTCACTGCAACAGAAAGTCTTGAAACAGTCGTTGTTCATTCTGTTAGAGAAGGAAACGATTCTCGTGACTCAGTAGGTACTCCTAGTCCGTTAAGAGGAGATGATACTTCGAAAGGTATATTTTTAAATTTCATAATTAGTTAATAACAACTGTACAGTTTTCAAGGCAACATATGTGGACATCCGCATAAAAAGGGACCACTGTCGGTTTTATTTTAGGAGATAATCGGTATTTTCTAAAAAAATTTCAATTTTTTTATTGATGTAAAACAATCTGTATTTAGTGTCCCGCGTTGATTGATGAGTTTGTGATAATTTTTTCGTAATTTTAAACATATAATAATTTTATTTTTAATTTTTTATTAACATGGGAACTTCGAACTTTAAACTTGTTTTGCTCGTAACTAATGTTTTAGCAATTTTAACTTTGCGCATCCTTGTAATTTCGGGAATTTTTTATTCAGAAGTATTTAAGAGCACATAGAATTTTTCAAATTTAGTCAAGAATTTGCCTACATGGATAAGTCGAATAGTGACAAAGTGGTCCTTTTTCAAGTGAACGTCCGCATATTTACTTATTTTCATTTACATAATATAATAAAAACTTTTTCCAGAAACAAATCCTGCTAAAGTTACTACAACAGAAAGTCTTGAAACAGTCGTTTCTCGTTCTATTGGAGCAGGAAGCGATTTGTGCAACTTAGTAGCTACTCCTGGTCCATCAAGAGGATATGGTACTTCGAAAGGTATATTTTTTAATTTTATAATTAGTTGATAACAACTGTTTTGTTTTCATGGCAACATATTTACTTATTTTCATTTATATAATGTAATTAAAAATTTTTACAAAATCAAATGCAGGCAATGTTTCTACAACAAAAAATCTTGCAGTAGGAAATGATTCTCACAATTCAGCAGCTATTGCCGGTCCATCAGGACAACATACGCCAAGAGGTATAAATATTCTAATTCGTTGATAGTAATTTAATTTCTAGAAGAAGAATCAATTTTAATGTTCTTTTTGTAATTTATAAATTGAAAAATTATTTAAAATTTTTTTTGTGATCTTCTATTTTTTTTTTATTATATTCTCTAAAAGAAATCCTAGTTCCATCAATGGAAAAAAGATTTTTTAAGTTTTTAAAGAGAAGCATTGGATAATTATTGAAATTATAAATATTTTTTTCACACACCTTGGTATTTCTTAGTACTATAGACATACTTCTAAATTTTTTTGCTCTAGTTATACGAGAATCATAGCAACAATTATGTGAAGTTTAAGTTAAGTTTGAGTTAATCTAGCAATATTTACTTGGGGATTCAGAAGGGGGAGAAAAAATACATGGGAATACACTGCCCTGGCGGTATCATAAAATCGGATTTAAATCGAATTTGATTTGATTTTGATTAATTTTGATTAGAAGCAGAATTTTGCTGCTAATTGATGAAATTTTTGAAATAACCCATTTCTAATAAAAGTTTGATATTATTTTTGTTGATGTGTGCAAAAATTGAGTTCAATTACGTGTTAATTAAATAATATTTAGTACATTAATTAATATTTAATTAACGCATAAATAAACTTAATTCTTCGACAAATCAACTAAAAGAATAACACATTTTCATTAGCAGTGGTTTTTTTTCATCAAATTTCATAAATTAGCTGCAAACTTCTGCCTCTAATCAAACTTAATCGAAATCAAATTAAATTCGATTTAATTCCGATTTTATGATTCCGCCAGGGTAGTGCAGTGTCATGGCTAAACAAAATTTCTTTTATTTACTTTTTGTTTTTTAAGCAGTTTTTTGAGTTTATTTCAAAATTTTGAGCCAATCTCAGATTCTGATTTTGTATTTGGATTCAGCCGGAAGAAATACATGGAAATACATTAATTTAGTAACAAAAAAATTTGTTTTAATTTTTGATTTTAATTTGTGATTTTCAGCCATTTTTTTAATATATCTGAAAAATAAGAGCCAATCTGAAAATTCTGATGGTGGATTCGGATTCAGCGACAAAAAATACAGGACAATGTACTAGTATATTATCGTGTTTTGGCCAAAAATTTTTATTTGTGTGCCTGTGTAATTATTTATTTGTTTAATCATTCCTGAAGCTACAATGAGCCACGATAATATTAATGATTAATTGTTTTTAACTTATTTAAATTTAAAATGTATTGTATTTTAGAAAAATATGATTAGCTGAAGCTATTTTATTTTGAAAATACCTATTTTCGATTTTGCATTTCGAAGAGATTTTGAGACACTTTTTTAACATACACTTAAATTCTTATTATTTTATTACAGCGGATAATTCGACAAAAGTAATATTAAACTCAATAAATGAATTAAAAGTAATGGTAATGTCGAACACTGGAAACCAAGGAGCTCCAGAACAAAGAATTAGAATACGTGTTAGTTTTGACAACAGGGACAAAGACTTAAAAAAATTTCCTGTTCAAACTGTTCGTGATTTGAAAAAGATGAATAAGAAGCTAGTTAATTCAAATTTTTCATCAAAATTGGTTTGCATTTCTCTTCAAAATTAATATAATAATTTAAGATTATGAGTACAGGTAGAAATTTATAATAATATTTCTTTACAGACTAATGCTCTAGCTGGTCTAGGATACAGTTGCAACCTGAGTATCACAGTAAATAAAATGATGAATCAACTTTTCTCATATAAAGTTGGGCAGGAATACAGCTATGATGGAAGATCGCAAAAGAAGCCGGCCTTCAAACAATTGCGCTTTAGTACTATAATATGCAGTACGTATTCTACCAGATTAGAATTTACTTCAAGCATGTTTGTTTTAGGAGAAACTCGTTTTTTTCGAAAAACGCGTGCCCTCCCCCCTTAACTGTTTCAGTTTTAACCTAATGAGCTGAAAATTGATGCGCATACATATTTTCACTAGTGTATTTTATGAAAAATATAGGGTACAAGATTAGAATTGATTTAAATATTGTTTCGAGCATTGATATAATTTGTACTTGGCGTAACTTTTTGATTAAAGATGTTTTTCTTCTAGACGCGGTTAATATGTTGCTTCAAGAAAAACAGTTCTCCCGGGAGGATGTACACAACTCGATTAAAGCGTGGTTATACCATTGCAAGGGAAATGAAATACGTCAACAGTAAGTATAAAACTTTCAAGAAAAGTCTTTTTTGACATTTAGAAATTATTTCTATTGCACTATTCATTTAATTTAAAAAAATATTTTTTATTTTAGGGCTAAATTGGAAGCGCAACGTAGGAGGGAAGAGAATGAAAGGCTTCAATTAGAGGAGAGCGAAACTTCAAGTCTAAGCGAGGGTGAAGATCGAGATGCAGAGGAAAAATGAGAGCAAATGTTTTTAAAAATTATATATGTTAAAAATTGTCAACAACAGAAGTGGTTATATAATAATCACGATTTAAACCATTATTTAAGTTAATGGGTCTTTTTAGATTAAATCACGTGCTAAAATGCGATTTAAAAAATTTAATTTGATTTTATGTTTTTAGTTTAAATCGTAAAACATATCTGTATTAAAACACACAACACACTGTAACAAGTCGCATATTATATATATTAATTTAAAAAAATTTATGTATTTACAAAAAAGTATTAAAATCTAGTTTTGTGGGATAATTGTTTTTTCAAATAACTGTGAACCGTTTTGGAAATACAATTTTCTAAAAGTCTTAAATAAAAATTATGTCTTTATCGAATTTTGAAAAAAGACAAGTTCTTCACGTAACCGTCTTAAAATCCAGCAATAAAGCTTTTTCCTGTTTTACCCTGATCAATTCACAACATTGCTCAATAGGTAAATATTTATTAAATAATAATATATTAAATATTAATACTTAAATAATATTAAATAGTTAAAAATATAAATAAAATAATCGTAGCTAATTACGATTTTTAATTAATTTATAGATATAAAAATTAATAATAAGTTTCTTTATTATAAAAAATATGAAAAAACATTGCGTTGTATAAAAAATTTTGATTTAAAGAATGCAAGAAATTTATTTACAATTATTATAAATAATTTATATTATTATTGACAAATAATTATAAATATTTATTATAAAATGCAGATACTTTAATTTTTAAATTAATTTATCAAATTACAAATTGACGATTTAAATGTCCATCATACATCTCGGTAAATTTAATTAATTAATTAATGATAAAAGCCATAAACATACGTTGATAAATGTTCAAAAAGTTTTTCTAATTATGTTACTTTTAATTGAATAATAATTTAATAAAAATTTGACAAGTCCAGAATTTTTTATAACGAGATTCAGTATTTAATAAATTTCATTTTTAAAGAATTACCTTAAATCGTTTTATATAGCTGTTAGTTTCACAAATAATATTAATATTAACATTGCAATATTATTTCAATGCCCTTTTAATTATGACACTAATTTAATAATAGAATTTAAAAATATTTCGTTGAAAACATTTTTAAATTTTCCCGCCATTCGTGTCAACTGATGACGACAAGGCTTGCAGCTTATAAAGACCCGAAAGTTACCCACCTTCAGTTCGTTGGTTAGGTTAGTGGTTAGGGTTCTTGGCTGTTGTGTTGCGCGTCCGGGTTCAATCCCCAGCTCCTCCAAATTTATTTCCGAAAATTGCGCCGTTAATGTTGGGGAAAAATAAAAGAAAGCGCAATAAGGGAAAAATAAATTTTTTTAATTTTACTTTTATTTAATAAATATTATAAAACATTTATAATAAACTTACCTTATAAAATTCACTGAAAACTTGCATTTTAATTTTACAGGAAATTTGTCTATATATCTTTAGAGTACTTTCCGGAGATAGTTTTAAAGAAATTCACAAAGCAAATTTCTGTAAAACTCAAAATTTAATATTTCCTAAACTTTTATCCACAATTTTTCGGCAAACTTAATCGGATAACTATCCTGAACTTCGCACCGCGAGTTATAAAACCGAGGACATATAGAGCTCGCCTGAACTTCCCCTGAAGCACCCCAACTTAGTTTCCGAACTTAACACGGGGAACTCCCCGCGAACTCCCTGCAAAAAACGGTGCTGTCTGGGTATTTACATTAATTTCTAATTTACCTATAGATATATTGTAGATTCCAATTAGATCCTTTCGCATAAAACTCTGCAACATTTTTTAAGATTGGCTGCTTCATATTTACATCAAACCATCCCTCCAATGGGGTTGTTAGGAAAATACTGCTAGATTTTGCTGTAAATTGTATTGGAATAACTACCTCTTCTTCATTTTGCACCCTTTTGAAAGAAGCTGTCAGAACGCTGTAGACAATGAGGGAACCATTTTGTTTTAAAACATCCTTAATGTGCTCTATAAACAAAATGGATGCATCATCTAAAAACCTACTTATATCTATATGTACAATATTTATGATAACCCAGTAAAAAATAAAAGATACAAGAAAAGTGGATTCCGAGACGACTGCTTTTCCCCGAAAGGACAAAATGTCGAATGGACAAAACGTCGAATAGCAAAACGTCGAATGGACAAAATATCGAAAAGCCAAACTGTCGAATGGACAAAATGTCGAAAAGTCAAGACGTCGCATAGTCAAAACGTGGAATAGTCAAAACGTCGAAAGGTCAAAATGTCGAAAAGCCAAGACGTCGAAAAGACAAAATGTCGAATAGCCAAAACTTCGAACAGACAAAATATAGAATTGCCAAAATGTCGAATTATCAAAATGTCGAATAGTCAAGAAGTCGAATGATTGAAACGTCGAATAGCCAAGACGTCGAACGGACAAAATGTCGAAAAGTCAAGACGTCAAATGGTCAAAATGTCGAATGGACAAAATATCGAGACGTTATTTTGCTCTGAGTTTCCCTTCTATATAATGCACTAGTTTGTGTTGCGTTTAAGACTCGATAGATATCGCTAGTTGTATTGTTTTTAATGTTTTTTTTGCATTTTTTTATAATAATAATAATAATAATAATAGTAGTAAAGTAATTATTATAGTATAATAATAATAATAATAAAAATTTTATGACATGAGAATAATTATTGTTTTTATCTTTATAAATACAAACTTTTAATTTTAAACAGTTAAACTAGTGTGCATTATATAGAAGGGAAACTCAGAGCAAAATAACGTCTCGATATTTTGTCCATTCGACATTTTGACCATTTGACGTCTTGACTTTTCGACATTTAGTCCATTCGCAGTTTTGACTTTTCGACGTCTTGGCTTTTCGACATTTTGGCTATTCGACATTTTGTCCGTTCGACGTCTTGGCGATTCGATATTTTGTCCGTTCGATGTTTTGGCTATTTGACATTTTGTCCGTTCGACGTTTTGGCTTTTCGACATTTTGTCCGTTCGACGTCTTGGCTATTCGACGTTTCAATCATTCGACTTCTTGACTATTCGACATTTTGTCAATTCTATATTTTGTCTGTTCGATGATTTGGCTATTCGACATTTTGTCTGTTCGACGTCTTGGCTTTTCGACATTTTAACCTTTCGACGTTTTGACTATGCGACGTCTTGACTTTTCGACATTTTGTCCATTCGACAGTTTGGCTTTTCGATATTTTGTCCATTCGACGTTTTGCTATTCGACGTTTTGTCCATTCGACATTTTATCCTTTCGGGGAAAAGCAGTCGTCTCGTGGATTCCGGTTACAAGCTCAATAGCTGGTAATCGAATCCGTAAGAATCTCGGATACAAGCACTTTCCGTATCCGAAATGCTCATAAGCTTGTAAACGCACTGAAACGAACGACTTTTGTAGGGCTTTTAATCATGAAAAACAAGTAAATGAATGCAGAAACGTTGGGAAATTAAATTAGAAGCAAAATAGTATATTTCGATACAAGGGGCCAAACGAGCGTTTTGCTCATTACACGAGTAATGGGCATACGCTCGTGAGGCAACGAGTATCGAACCATATGCATGCACGTATAAAGAAAATAAATAATTATTTATTAAAGAAACGTACACTTAAACAAAAAACAATTATTCTTACTAATTCTAACTTCTGCATTAAAAACATTGTGAAAGCAGTGTTTTGTTGGTGATTTTACCTTGTTATTCGGAAAATATGGTTTTCTATCTTACCGACATTGGATATTAATTTAACGCGGTTTTTTCGATTTTCTAATTTCAAAAGCAATTCAAAATAATCAAAATGTTATTAAACATAATTAAGTGCTTATTTTTAATTTCCTTTACCCCTTTTTATTAAATAATTTTGGATTTCTATTGAAATTGAAAATTCGACAAAACCTGCGTTAAATTAATATCCAATGTCGGTAAGGTAGAAAACCATATTTTCCCAATAACAAGGTAAAATTACCAAGAAAACACTGTTTTCCCAATGTTTTTAACGCAGGGGTTAGAATTGGTAAGAATAATTTTTTTATGTTTAAATGTATGTTTCTTTAATAAAGAATCATTTATTTATGCTACTAATTTCATTTCCCATCGTTTCTGGATCCATTTAATTGCTTTTTCTAGATTAAAAGCTTTACAAAAGTCGTCCGTTTCAGTGCGTTTACAAGCTTTACATCATTTCGGATACCGAAAACTGCTCATATCGGAGATTCTCACGGATTCGTTTACCAGCTATTGATCTTGTAACTGGAATTCGCTGTTCTTGCATCTTTTATTTTTTACTGGGAACATACGTGTACAATCAACATTCAAATGCATTCTCACACATAGCCCATCATACACGCTTAGTAATATCTAAGTCTTGTAAGCCAGCGCCATCTACCGCTTGAGATCATCAACTCACAAAACTTCAATTTATATCTCGAAAGTCAAACTTTTGAGCATGCGCAGTGGACGTTAAACCACCACTCTTATTTTACCACCACTCTTACATACTTTTAATATAGATTTAAACTTTTGAGTTAAACTATTTAATATAATTTTAATTTTCATGATTACCCTACACCGATGACTACCACCGCGCCGCCTACGTTCATTGGTAGGGGGTGGGGTCGGCGATTTCGGTGGCGGAGGTGTTGACGATCGCGGTGGCGGTAGAGGTGAAGGCCTCTGCACCCTCGCCCAGGGTGGTGAATCCGTCCGATATTGATGGGCAATCGACCGGAGTGGGGACATCGGCTCTGGTATCCCCAATTGCACCCAAGAAGGCGTCTCTGGCTGATGCCAGGGTGTAGGTAACCCCGGTGGTGTGGATGGTAGGGGCACCTTATTGCCTGGAATGTGTTACTAAGAAATTATTAATTAATTATCGTTTAAATAATTATTGTTTAAATAATTATTGTTAAATAATTAATTAATACTTACATTGTACGCCGACATCACCCTCACGAGGCAGTGGAAGCAAGAGCAGTCTTCCATACTTGACCGCACTGGTCGAAGTCTTGGTCGAATATGCTAATTAAGAGCAATACACTTACCCTCGTTAAGTTTCTCCCACCACGAGTGATCACTGTAATGTAGAGAAACGACAGGAGCGATATTTGTGGCGAGTGAGTACAACTAAAAGCGCGCTGACAGTTACGCACGAAAATAATTTGAATTCAAAATATATTTAAAAAATTAACTTCTTAAAATTTTTAATTTTTTAAAAA